GTCTGATGATGTCTCCGAAGTGAGTTCATGAAGGAATATTATGCTAAACCCTGCAGATGGATTTATTCCGGCATAATATGAATGCTATGAGCGAGCGCTAGTTTCGGTAAGATAATATATTAATTAATTCTTGATTATTAGTGATCGAATTAATTAATGGACATTATATCTTAAACATGGGGAGGTAAATCGGATAATTATAATAAGGAGTCTCAAATGTAATTTGGGATAGATGAGGGGAGTGCAATATTATTATTGTGGTGGACTTTAATATTATTAATATATTAATTGTGGGGTTGCTCCACAGTATTAATATATTAGAAGCCCTTATCCTATTCTCCTTAGTGTAATATCCCGACTATGTTATTAATGTAATATCATGTTCAGTTCTGGAATATCTATTTTTATTAAATGTTATTGTTCAGAACTATTTATTTCAGTCAAGTATGTTCGAATTAATTTTCGAATATCATGTTCATGTTCGGAATAATATTCCGATAAGTAATTCGTGTCTAATTGCTCGATAATTAATTTTACCTAGTTTAAGTTCATTGATTATGTATTAATTGTGCTTAGGTTAAGCCTAAGCAAGGCTTGCATGTTCGCACCATCATTCATGCCTAAGTCATGCATAAACACGCGCATCAGTGTGCTATTAACACGCCTAAGCCGTACTTAAGCCAAGTTAAAGCCGAGAGTTCAGCCCTCTCTTTTCTCACATGCTATGTTATCATTATTTATACACTTGGAAGCTTAGGATGGTATAAGAGAAGTTACTAAGACAAAGTCGGGTGACTAAGCTCCCAAATGCCACTGTTATGCACTATGCACGCGACACATGGTGCATGACGATTGGCCAAACAAATTCATTCCCATTTCACCGTCTTCACTCGAACATAAATTCAGAATTTGGAGTGAAAAATGACTTACCACTTCAGATAAATTATCAGCAAATACTAAGTCTTAATTAGCCCTAATCGCTCGCACTAATAAGCAATTCACGTACGCGGAGCCAAGAACACGCCCTATCTTTCGATTTTAGCTGACCGATTCAGGAGGTAACCTTATCCTCCACTTCTCTTCATGTTAATAAGTTCATTTAAGGTTGAATTGTTCAGCTCATGTTTCAAGAATTCATAGATATGTCATGATAGGTTCTGTTATGCCCTAATTAAGTCATGATCGAGTGAACTTCATTTTTATCCGGCAACTCATGAACAATTCATGTCTATATGATCATTTTATATCATTTTATATTCAGTCGACTCATGTTGGTCGAGACAAGATGAAGATTTATTCATGAAATGGCTTCAACTGTCGGCAGTGCACGTCGCGCATGCCCACGGGCTGTCATATGTTACATCGAGTCATCTTCCTTTATGATCAGTTTTATACGAGTAATTCATGTCTCATTTGATATTAAATGAGGTAGTATTTGGTAAATTTTCAATATCGTTCGGAAAAATTTCATGTTTACTCAAAGTATTGGCCTAAAGTTGAGAGCGTGCGCGTGGTGCGTACCCTTTACAATAATTCAATGTTCTTCGAACAAATCCATAATCTTTATAAAAAGTCAGTATATTTAATCATGTTAGGTTGTACTACGTTAAGTCATGTTGAAGTTGTCGGAATAAATCGCCGGACGGCCGGCAAGAGTCCGTCGTCGCAGCGTACCGGCAGTACGTAAGGGTCACGCGGTAGCGTACCGCGAGCAGTCAGTATCCGCAACAGGTGGCTGTGGGTGATGAGCGAGCGCACGCCAACACCCAATCATGCACGCCAGCGTGCGGTAACGCACGCCAGCGCGCTGCAACGCGCGTTCAGTGGCCGCGCAACACCAGTCCTGTTCCGCTAGTGTTTATGCGCGCATTCACGAACTCTGTGGCATGTTGCAGTGTGTGGTAACACCCGACTACGCCCAGTCACGCGACAGCCGACGCATGTAGCGCTCGAAAGTAGCCAGATCACGCCCGACGGACCCAGTTCATGCCAGCCGTGGCCAGGGCAGGCCCGGCAGTGGTCATACCGCACCCAGTCGCACCAGCAACCGCGCCTACAGCTGCAGCAAGGCGTGGGCCGAGTCAGCCACTGACCGACCGGTCCGAGCAAACCGGCAGTCCGGCCAGACCAGTTCAGACCGGTTGATACCGGTTTGACCTAAATAATATTATTTTAATCCCGGTTCATATTTAAAGTTCAGGTTTCAGTCAAATTCTGGGTCCGATTCTGTTCAGTAAATTCATGTCAGTCAGCTCCGATTTTTAACCGGTTTCAGTTATACCGGTTAAATCCAAATGCCATGTCAGTACAGTAGAGCATCTTAATATATTAAAAAGTTATTTTATCAGTCTGAGCATAGTATTTAGTAATTATATTATTTTCAGTTTGATCAGGATACGATTATCAGCACTGCCTTTTCAGTCAGACAGTTCAGGTGGGGACTCAGACTGGGTATTACATTGATTATAATTATTCTACCATGTTTGAGGTATGTATTATCAGTTCAGTATCCGCTCGGAATGGTCGCCGGTCCATTCTGGGTTCTAGTGGCCCTAATCTGCCCACTAGTGTGCACATGGTGTCCGACATTAGTTTGTGTCGGCAGATGTTCAGGTATCAGGCAGGTGATGATTTTATCTCACCATCAGTATCAGATCATGATTATTCAGACCGGTTTCATGTTCATGTTCATGCCAGGATCATGTTATTATAATTATTTTCACTGTTTACTTCAGTATGAGTTTTCACGGAGCACAGTGTATTTTAGTGCTCACGACCCACTTTTATCATGTTTTTCAGGTCAGGACGTCGGGCTGGAGGTGTGAGATGACGGCAGTCTCAGGACTTTTTATCATGTGTTGTATATATATATTTTGACGACGATACGTTTCCGCTACTCAGGACTTTTGACGAACTTGCTTTTGATTAAGCTTTCAGTTAAAGCGTAGATTTTGTTAAAGACTAAATAACGGTTTTCAGAACAAGTCATGTTTTCACGGTAGCACCCCGAATCAGTTTTCGCAAATTAATTGTTTATTTTAAAAGATTTTGCGAAATTGCGAGCTCTGATTTTTATTATAAGGCGAGGTGTTACATTTGGTATCAGAGCATGTTTCTGCGTCTCTGAAAATATTCACGAGTAAGATATTTTCAAAAACCTGAACACGTCACGCTCACACCTCGCCGACTACAGGTAAGTGCTGATTCATGTTTTAAATTATAAACAATTTACTAATTCTATGCTCAGGATTCTCAGTTATTGTATAGTTAAGATGCTCGAATCATGTTCAGAATCAGTAATCAGTAACCAGTAGTCAGGATTCAAGTCAGAATTTTCCAGTCATGTTTAGCAACTCGTCAAGAAATTTGTGCACTTAAATAATCAGTTAAAGTATTCTCTTCATATGTTGATCATGTTAAATCTTTTCAATATTCAGATACCGCCCCGTAGGGAGCCGGTTCAGCCAGCGGTCACCCAGGCCACTGTGGTCGCACAGTTCCGCGACTACCATCCTGAGAAGTTCTGCGGCCAGGAAGATCCGCGTATTGTAGACGAGTGGATTCAGGGCCTCGAATTGATCTTTGAGGTCATGGATTGCCCAGATCGTTACCGCATTATTTGCGCACAGCTTCAGTTGACCGGTGATGCCAGACACTGGTGGAATGCCTACTGGAGCATGCGTCCCTGCGAGAAAGAAAGGTGTACTTGGGATAGATTCAGAGAGATGATTCGAGAGAAGTATTATCCCACGTATTACCAAGCTGAGATGGAGCGGCAGTTCCTGTCGCTCAAGCAGGGTACTTGTTCTGTTGATGAGTACGAGAGAGAGTTTACCAGACTCAGAGCTTTTGTTCCTGATCTGGTATGTACTGAGGCACAGCGAGCACAGTGCTTTACTGACGGGCTTTTCCCAGCAGTCCGTCACAATATTGTAGGTCACGGGACCCAGACGTACGCTCGTACCGTTGCCATTGCTCAGGAGGTGGATGCCAGCATTCGAAGGGAGGCGAACCATGATCGACTGCAGCCAGTTGCCCCTACCCAGTCATCGACAGCTCCACTGATGCCACCAGCTGATGCCCAAACCCAAAAGAGTCAAAAGAGGAATGGGAAAGGTGCCCCGATGGACAGGAAGACCCGACGGAGACTACAACAGATTCCACAGTGCCACACTTGCGGACGACTTAATCGCGGAGAGTGTCACATGGGCCAGGATATTTGTTGTTACTGTCACGAGCCCGGGCATTTTGCCAGTCGATGTCCGAAGAAACTCCAGCCGCAGCCACAGTAGCCTCAACAGCCACCGCAGCAGCAGCAACCCCGACAGCAGGCACACAGGCCACCCCAGCAGCAGCAGAGGGGTAGACAGCAGGCCAGAGTTTATGCGATTGATCAGGCTGAAGCAGAGCAACACCCAGGTACTACGTCTGGGATGATTATGCTTAATGATATTCCTGTCTTTGCCTTGTTTGATACTGGAGCGACTCATTCATTTATATCACGACGATGTCTCGATGCCATCAGAGTTTATGCCATTACCGCTGTCGATCCTCTCGAGGTGAGTCTAGCCTCGGGACGAAAGATAGTGACTTCAACTAGAGCCACAGATCTCAGTCTCTCTATCGGTGGTCGTATATTGTCTACCGATGCTTATGTCCTCAAGATGAGGGATTTTGACCTCATACTCGGCATGGATTGGCTAACGCGTTTTCATGCAGATATCCGATGTCATGACCGGGAGATTATTCTTTCTCTTCCGGGAGATGATCAGATTACTTTCTTCAGTACTAAGACTCGTTCATTGTCACATGTTATCTCTATGGCGAAAGCCAGGAAGATGTTGCGACGAGGCAACTGTCAGGGTTATCTCGTCACTCTTGTTGATGATTCTCTGAAGGCGCAAACACCTCAGGACGTTCCTATTGTTTGTGAGTTTGTGGACGTGTTTCCAGACGAGCTTCCAGGAGGACCGCCTAACCGGCAGGTAGAGTTCTCCATTGACCTTATTCCAGGAGCCAGGCCAGTCTCCAAAGCACCCTATCGTATGGCGCCGAAAGAATTGCAGGAGCTAAAGGCGCAAATCCAGGAGTTATTACGACTCGGTTTTATTCGACTGAGCGTGTCACCGTGGGGAGCACCCGTTCTTTTTGTCAAGAAGAAGGACGGATCCACGAGCATGTGTATCGACTACTGGGATTTGAACCGGTTGACGATCAAGAACAAATACCCGCTTCCCAGGATTGATGATTTATTTGATCAGCTGAGGGGAGCTTGTGTCTTTTCCAAGATTGATTTGCGATCAGGCTATCATCCGCTGAAGATCAAGGAGTCAGACATTCCCAAGACCGCTTTTCGTACTCGTTACGGCCATTACGAGTTCATTGTCATGCCATTCGGCCTCAGCAATGCCCCTACAGTATTTATGGATCTGATGAACCGTATTTTCCATCTTTATCTTGATCAGTTTGTTATTGTTTTCATTGATGATATTCTTATCTACTCCAAGAGCCAGAAGGAACACGAGGAGCATCTGAGGGTTGTTCTTTAAACCCTTAGACGAGAAAAGTTATATGCAAAATTCTCCAAATGCGAATTCTGGCTCCAGCGAGTAGCTTTTCTTGGTCATGTGATTACTCAGGCAGGTATTGAGGTCGATCCATCCAAAGTTTCAGCTGTTCAGAACTGGTCGACACCGAAAAGTCCGTCCGAGGTTTGTAGTTTTCTCAGTTTGGCTGGTTATTATCGCAGGTTCATTGAGGGCTTTTCTAGGATTGCTCTTCCATTATCCCAGCTGACGAGGAAGTCTGTGAGGTTCGAATGGACTGACCGATGTGAGGCGAGCTTTCAGGAGCTCAAGAAGAGACTGACTTCAGCACCGGTGTTGACTATTCCCGATCCTTCTCGGAGTTTCACCATTTACAGTGATGCTTCGAGATAGGGTTTGGGATGCGTACTCATGCATGATGGCCAGGTCGTTGCTTATGCTTCACGTCAGTTAAAGCCACATGAACAGAACTATCCGACGCACGATATGGAGTTAGCCGCAGTTGTTCATGCCCTCAAGATTTGGCGACATTATCTTTACGGCGGTCGATGTGAGATTTTTACAGATCATAAGAGCTTGCAGTATATTTTCACCCAGAAGGAGCTCAACATGAGACAGCGTAGTTGGTTAGAGCTCGTCAAAGATTATGATTGCACTATTCAGTAACATCCAGGGAAAGCGAATGTCATTGCTGACGCCCTAAGCCGTAAGGTGAAGGGTGACTTGACTTATATTATTACTCAGCAGAGCCCGATGATTCAGGAGTTCGCCCGGATGTAGATTCAGGCAGTTTATGCACTCCCTACAGCTATTACGGGGAGTATCAGTTCCATGCAGGTTCAGCCGACGCTGAGAGAGAGAATCCGACGAGAGCAGATTTCAGATGAGTTTGTTCGTGCGATTGATGCTAAGATTCGAGCCGGAGGCGTCGAGGGTTTTCACCGAGGCACTGATGGGGCCTTGGAGTTTCGCGGCAGGATTGTGGTGCCAAAGGTCGAAGCGTTGAGAAAGGAGATTTTGACTGAGGCTCATACCGCACCCTATCTAGCCCATCCAGGAAGCACGAAGATGTATCATGACCTGAAAAGGTTGTTTTGGTGGCGAGGATTGAAGAATGACGTAGCCGAATTTGTGAGGAGATGTTTAACCTGTCAGCAAGTCAAAGCCGAACATCAGAGTCCGATAGGCCTTTTACGACCACTGCTGATTCCGCGGTGGAAGTGGGAGGAGGTTTCGATGGATTTCGTTACTCGGTTACCGAGGTCGTCTGAACATCATGACGCTGTTTGGGTCATGGTTGACAGATTGACTAAGGTTGCTCATTTCTTACCGGTATCGATGAGTATGTCTTTGGACAAGTTGGCTGAGATATATACCCGTGGGATCGTTCGACTCCACGGAGTGCCTGTTACCATTGTGTCAGACAGAGACCCCAGATTCACTAGCAGATTCTGGCAGAGTTTGCACAAGGCGATGGGCACGAAGTTAGCATTCAGTTCAGCCTACCATCCAGAGACTGACGGACAGACAGAGCGGACTATTCAGACGTTGGAGGATATGTTGCGAGCTTTGGTTGTTGACAGGGGTGCTAAATGGGAGTCGTTATTGTCGTATGCCGAGTTTGTGTACAACAACAGTTATCATTCTGCTATTCAGATGGCTCCTTATGAGGCACTTTACGGTCGTAAGTGTTGTTCCCCTCTCTATTGGGACGACGTCGGTGAACGTCGAGTACTCGGTCCGAAGCTGATCGAGGAGACAGCAGAGCAAGTCGAGATAATCCGGTGGAGACTTAAGACAGCACAGAGCCGAATGAAATCAACCGCCGATCATCATCGACGAGATATTCAGTTTGAGGTTGGCGAGCGAGCTTTTCTCAGAGTTAGTCCATTTCGCGGAGTTATTCGATTCGGGAAGAGGGAAACTGCACCCTCGGTTCATTGGCCCGTTCGAAGTACTCGAGCGAGTGGGCGACGTGGCATATCGATTTGCCTTACCTCCCGAGTTATCCAGCGTTCATAATGTCTTTCATGTATCCATGTTACGCAAGTACGTGTGCGACCCTGATCATGTCATTCCTCATACTGATATTCAGATTCATCCAGACTTATCTTACGAGGAGCGACCGGTAGCAGTGTTGGACCGACAGGTTCGACGGCTCCAGAAACGTGATATTCCCCTCGTTCGTATTCAGTGGGATCGCCACGGAGCCACTTGGGAGGAAGAGGCTGATATTCGCGCTCGTTTTCCTAATTTTCAGTTTTGATGTATATATTCTTTCATGTTTCATGTATATATGTTTCGTTTTGTATTTCCGAGGACGGAAATATTTTAAGGGGGCTAGGTTGTAATATCCCGAGTATGTTATTAATGTAATATCATGTTCAGTTCCGGAATATCTATTTTTATTAGGCGTTATTGTTCGGAACTATTTGTTTCAGTCAAGTATGTTTGAATTAATTTTCGAATATCATGTTCATGTTCGGAATAATATTCCGATAAGTACTTCATGTCTAATTGCTCGATAATTAATTTTACCGAGTTTAAGTTCATTGATTATGTATTAATTGTGCTTAGGTTAAGCCTAAGCAAGTCTTGCATGTTCGCACCATCATTCATGCCTAAGTCATGCATAAACACGCGCATTAGTGTGCTATTAACACGCCTAAGCCGTACTTAAGCCAAGTTAAAGCCGAGAGTTCGGCCCTCTCTTTTCTCACGTGCTATGTTATCATTATTTATACACTTGGAAGCTTAGGATGGTATAAGAGAAGTGACTAAGCCAAAGTTGGGTGACTAAGCTCCCAGATGCCACTCTTATGCACTATGCACGCGACACATGGTGCGTGACGATTGGCCAAAGAAATTCATCCCCATTTCACCGTCTTCACTTGAACATAAATTCAGAATTTGGAGTGAAAAATGACTTACCAATTCAGATAAATTATCAGCAAATACTAAGTCTTAATTAGCCCTAATCGCTCGCACTAATAAGCAATTCACGTACGCGGAGCCAAGAACACGCCCTATCTTTCAATTTTAGCTGACCGATTCAGGAGGTAACCTCATCCTCCACTTCTCTTCATGTTAATAAGTTCATGTAAGGTTGAATTGTTCAGCTCATGTTTCAAGAATTCATAGATATGTCATGATAGGTTCGGTTATGTCCTAATTAAGTCATGATCGAGTGAACTTCATTTTTATCCGGCAACTCATGAACAATTCATGTCTATATGATCATTTTAGATCATTTTATATTCAGTCAAATCATGTTAGTCGAGACAAGTTGAAGATTTATTCATGAAATGGCTTCAATCGTCGGCAGTGCACGTCGCGCATGCCCACGGGCTGTCCTATGTTACATCGAGTCATCTTCCTTTATGATCAGTTTTATACGAGTAATTCATGTCTCATTTGATATTAAATGAGGTAATATTCGGTAAATTTTCAATATCGTTCGGCAAAATTTTATGTTTACTCAAAGTATTGGCCTAAAGCTGAGAGCGTGAGCGTGGTGCGTACCCTTTAGAATAATGCAATTTTCTTCGAATAAATCCATAATCTTTATAAAAAGTCAGTATATTTAATCATGTTAGGTTGTACCACGTTAAGTCATGTTGAAGTCGTCGGAATAAATTGTCGGACGGCCGGC